TTGTTTCACGGACGCTGTAAAGGAGGGGGTAGTACTTGGTCATTTTTGCGAGGGGGGGTCGTACCAACTCCCAAAAAGGGGGTCGTATTTTAGTATGGAATTAGGGGGGGTCGTAATTTTCAGAAAATGATCACAACGCGATGGCGTGCCCTGGCTGCCAAATGAAAGTCAACACAAGAGTTCACGGGTTATTTTATAGCATGGCTGAGCCTTACCCTCTCCTGCATGACATCCTTGCCCATTCCAAAATCCCTGAACACATGCAATGCAAACCGACGGTGCTGCTGCCACAGCTCACCAGTTGTTCCGATAACACCGTAATTTCCACCTGAAATTAACTCTCTTGTTCTGTCCTGCGTTTTGCACGAAAAGTGGACGTGGAAGGATTTCACGATACGGTGCTGTAATCAGATAAACATGAGGGGGAACTCCACGATGATCGCGTGGGTGGAATTGGACCTACCGTTATACCTTTTTAATCTAAGCGTCTCTAAATGCTAATAAAGCGGTCAAATGTCTTCACCCACACGACCACCGTGAACCTGCACCTTCAGGATGTGGATGTAGCTTCTGAATCACTGTACTCACCTCGTACTATTCTGGAAAGTGGTATGTCCTGACGTCCAGCGTAGGCAGCACCTTCTTTGACCAAGCGCTTGCTTCATCAGCTCATAGTCGGCTATCACTACAGCAGGTCGATCAGCCATCCAAAACGTGAAGCACCGGCCATATTTTTCCTTCCAGATTCGAAATGCTTCATAGCCAGGTTCGTAGAATGAGAGAGCGACGAGGTTGCCAATGAATGGAAAAGGAATCGGACCTAAAATCTCATCAGGTTTACGTTCCCTGAGAAAATCGATGGTCAATGCTTTTGGAATCGCGGTAGCGACCGCCAACATACTGGACAACAGGCCGGGTGTTGTTAGAACCTCCGCAGCCATTGTGTCGCTCTCATCAGCTAGTATTCCACCTAGTGGTCTTACACACCGCTCCATTTTATTCCCAAGCAAATACTCCGGTGAGTGGGGCAGCGAGGTGATGAAGGTGAAGGGATATAAAGCTCTCCATGGGACAAACAAAAAGAGAAAAACCTACAAAATCCTCACCAAAAAGCAAATGTACGACTCCTATCCGTTGACTGATCGGATACCACATCCTTCTCCCCTCCCCCTTCGTTGAAGATCTCCAGCTTGGAACGTGCCTTGGTTGGACTACACCCTCTCTAAAGAACCTTCTAGGCCTAATGTCTTATTCAGACGAGGGAGGGGCGCTAGACAACTTTCTTTTGCCCGACAACCCTCCACCCCAGCATCAACCTCCGTACCAAGCGCGCTAGCTAACGCTTCACCTGCCTCTTGTTACCACAATCCGTGCCGCATGGGCCAATACAGCATCCAAATGTCGACTACGTGGGAGCTGTCTTTAAGTTGAAAGCATCTTCAATTTCGACTGATTAGGCAGTGAACTCACGTGAATCCTCCATTATCGGGCTCATTTTCCAGTCGCTTCTGCTCTTTGAGATAAGCTTCAACGTAGTCGGTGCTTTCCACACTATCAAAATCAATTTCTTTCTTATGGATTTCGATTTGCGTGTCGAGCATATCGAACATAACACGGTTGTTCTCCGTAACTTCTGCAATCAAACATTTTCTATTTCTTTCTGAGGTCGCCCAAAGGCACTCTTGTGCGAATTGGAGCTGACAGAACAGGTTACGGACCAATGATGAAAGTTGCAGTAATTCAACCCTTCGAAAACGATTCAGTGTGTGGCGAAACGTTCATAAGCTAAACAGTGCTAGAGGCGGCATCAGGAACAGCATCGTAGTGTGAAACACATAGGGGGTCGTACTTTTCGGCTGAGGAGGCGGGTTCGTATTTCATCGTTATCGGGAGAGGGGGTTGGATCGTATGTGGCTTCGACAGAAATTTGCCGCGCTGGGAGAATTTTTCCGGTTGTTTACTTTTCGCGGGATTTTTCTTGCTTCATGTGTACTATATACCCCTCCCCACCACCGCTCGACAGCAAAGTTTCTTGGGCAAAAGTAGGGAAATTCTCAGAAAACTAGTAGGGAATTGTGGAAAATCTAGGAAATTTTCCCGTTTCCACACTGGCTGCCTACCCTCCCCCTCCCTCGCCCTGCTCGTTGGAAAATCTCTGAATGAAGAAGTGGAAAGTGTGGGGACATTGGTAGGTACGTGCTGGGGAAGGGGTGAGAGTCGTACCAAGACCCTCCCTTGAGAAGGGGGAGGTCATACTGGCACCACCATTTCACATATCACGATGTTGTACCCTGGACGGCATAGCACAGACTAGTAAGCGTGTCTTACACATGGATAACTGAACAGAGCGCTCAGAAATTACGTCGTGCCCAACTGTGTGCGCTCGAAAACAGATGCATCTGATTTTACGCGCAGTTTCGAGACTGTAACCTTCTATTTACCTCAAAATATAATCATACCCCTCGAAGTGATTTCATAATGCCCTCAAAGACTAATAACGCTAGAGCTGCCGTCCCGGTTTTTATGTCAGCGCTCGTTATAGCTCGATATTTCCCCAGTAGATAAACCGGTTTGCAGCTATTAACATTGTAAAGTTACTAAATTGTACGACAAACCTTTTCTGTATGCCTTGAAGAACGGAAGCACTTCCAGACTCGGGAACATCATTAACAATATGAATGACGGACGAGCACTCATTTCCATGGCCCGTACGAGAACACTTTTTTGTTGATAGAACTGCTCCATATTGGTCTGAAACGACAGTTCGCTACCACAAAAATATTACAATAAAATTGTTAGGGAAAGAAATTGGGAAAGGAGTAAATACTTCATCAATAAAAACTGTTCCATCAATAAAAACTGTACTACTTCCACGACAACCCACTTCGTCAAATCTGAATCCGAAAAGTAGACTGTTGATGATCGAGCCGACAGCACTATCGATGTGATCCCTGAGATCCAAAGGTTGACCCAGGTTTTGCTGGCACTTTCTCAGGAAATCCTTCACTTCGTCGAGGACCTGAAGTAGACATTCCATTAGCATACTGGACAACAGGGTGTTGTTCAGAACATCCGAGCCACTGTATCGCTCTCAATCAGCTAGTATTCCCACCTAGTGGTCTTAACACACCGCTTCATTTCTCCCCCAAGAAAATACTGTGAGGGTGGGGAGGAGGTGATGAGGGTGAGGGTATAAAGCGCTCCAGGGGACAAACAAAAAAGAGGAAACCTACAAAATCCTCACCAAAAAGCAAATGTACGACTCCTGTCCGTTGACTGATCGGATACCACATCCTTCTCCCCTCCCCCTTCGTTGAAGATCTCCAGCTTGGAACGTGCCTTGGTTGGACTACACCCTCTCTAAAGAACCTTCTAGGCCTAATGTCTGTCAGCCGATGGAAAGGGTCAGAATACATCGTCTGCCCAACAAACCTCCATCCGGCATCAATTTCATACCAAGCGCGTGATAGACCGCCTCATCTGTCTTTACCACAATCGTTCCGCATGGGCCAATACAGCATCCAAATGTCACTACGCTGCCAAATGAAAGTCAACACAAGAGTTCACGGGTTATTTTATAGCATGGCTGAGCCTTACCCTCTCCTGCATGACATCCTTCCCCATTCCAAAATCCCTGAACACATGCAATGCAAACCGACGGTGCTGCTGCCACAGCTCACCAGTTGTTCCGATGACACCGTAATTTCGGTGCCAGCGCGTGGAGAATTAACTCTCTTGTTTGCTGTTCGGTTCTGCTTTATTGCACGAAAAGTCGGAACCTTGGAAAGAGGTATTCACGATTCACGGGTGCTGGAAATCAGATAAACATGAGGGGGAACTCCACGATGATCGCGTGGGTGGAATTGGACCTACCGTTATACCTTTTTAATCTAAGCGTCTCTAAATGCTAATAAAGCGGTCAAATGTCTTCACCCACACGACCAGCGTGAACCGCACCTTCAGGATGTGGTGTAGCTTCTGAATCACTGTACTCACCTCGTACGATTCTGGAAAGTGGTATGTCCTGACGTCCAGCGTAGGCAGCACCTTCTTTGACCAACGCTTGCTTCATCAGCTCATAGTCGGCTATCACTACAGCAGGTCGATCAGCCATCCAAAACGTGAAGCACCGGCCATATTTTTCCTTCCAGATTCGAAATGCTTCATAGCCAGGTTCGTAGAATGAGAGAGCGACGAGGTTGCCAATGAATGGAAAAGGAACTGGACCTAAATTCTCACAGGTTTACCTTCTCCATGAAAAGCGAGAGTCATCGCTATGAAATTGCGGCAGTGGCTGCGGGGGTGCGCCGCGATTACCCTTCCAGTGCAAGCAATAATAATAATGAGCAATAATGGTAACTTCTGCGCATGCAGTTAAACATAGCCTGTCTGTGGAGGGACCATTCCGAAAAGAGGCGGAGGTGGTATAGTGGCAATTGAAACGCTCACCACGAGCGCTATCCCGGGGTTGGATCTCAGAGCGGCTCCCACACATGCCAACCAGGTGTTCAACCTTCCGGAAACGGTGACATTGTTCCACATTCGCCTGGAAGCATGAGAACAAGCGACTTGTTCATCGGCTGGAGCTCACAAGTCATTATATAGGCCGTGTCGCCTTCAATAATCATACGTATGAAACTGCGGGATCATACTGCCAGTGAGATGTTATGACAGACCATTCGACGCGTATTCCATGCCGGA